AGAGTGTGAAAACTATGAGCTGGCATTTTCTGAGGGGTGCCTCAAGCACATCCCCACATGCTCCGAGCCTTAAAAAAGTTGCGCTTTCCTGTCCTGGGGGTTATCAAAACCAACCAACCAAACAAACAAAGCAATGCAGATTTCTTTGTTACACATGGAGGGCTATGGGGCCAGGCCCACAACAAACTGGTTCCCCTCCTCTGTTATTAGAAGGAGCTATTAAGCGTGTAACAAGTGGATACCTGGGACAACTAAAGTGAGAACAGGGTTCAAAAGCTGGTAAGGGGGGAGGCAATGAGCACAGCACAGGGGCAAGCACCCACTGAATAAGTCCAAGAAGCCAGCGGACGCCTCCCAGTGAACCTCTGCCTGCAGATGTGACACGAGGAGGGACGGCCTCTGGCACACCAAGGAGCACAGGGCTGGGGCCCACCCAGAAATCACTCCGTCTCCCCTGGGTGCGAGGGTCGCTGACAGCTTGTCAGACCACAAGAGGAACCAGGGTCACCAACTCTGTTTCAATCTATCCCGGGAGGCTTCATCACATGACATAACGACATTAATAACAGTGTGCCGACCAGAGATGTGGGGCGGAAAACTTTCCAAGGAACATTTTCCAAAATGAAAAATTTTCCAGTGCTTTATCTTTCCCTGGGAAATTTTCCATTTCTAAAAACTAATTGTTTCATAAAATTCATTAGTAACAATGAATGGGTGCCAATACAATATTAGGCAAGCTCGGCAGTTTCAAAGTTGTAATGACTGTTTTTCAGGTGGTTATCCCTCGGAAGCATGTGAGAGAGTACATACATCTTTTATTGATTTTTAAACCAGAGGGTAAGTAATCATAATCCAAACCAAACGAATCCAACCTCACATCATAATCCAAACGAATTCGCCTAATTGGCTACGCAGATCAAATTAAAACCTGAAGCACGGCACATCACGCACCGTTCTTTGGGAGTGCTAAAATGAGCGTGTCAACAGTTTTCAGTGCCCTTGCTTTTGGTTTTCTTAAATTTAAACAATCTACAGGGAGCACATGCTACTGCTGGGAAGGGCAATTATTTCGGGCAGAGGCTCGCTTACTGAGTTTTGGCAAGCCACCGAGGGCTGCATGACAGGCAACCAGGGGCAGATAATTATTAATTTTCTAAATTTTTTAGGGGCCCCGTGGGCCAGATAGAACGGCGCGTTTTGTACTATTGTGCATTGCCTTTACGTTTTTACAAGTATCCCAATAAAAATAATTTCTTTGCACATAAAGCTTTCGAATATAACATTTAAACCACAAAAAGCATGCTGCTGCCTTTCATTTTTTTTTTTTTCCGAATCAAATATTTCAGTGCAAATACTTGTGGTGATTGGGACATATTGTTAACATATGGGGGAGGACTTATAATATATAGATAGATAGATATAGATAGATAGATAGATACACACACACACATATATATACACACACACACATTTTATATAGATAAATACACACACACATATACACACACACACACATTTTTATATAGATAGATACACACACACACACACATATACACACACACACACATTTTTATATAGATAGATACACACACACACACACATATACACACACACACACATTTTTATATAGATAGATACACACACACACACACATGCCCCTTTCGGGATTAGGCCAATGGCACCTCTGAAACCAGAACACCCGGAAAAGAAAACGATCCCCCTGCAGTATGGACCATCCATTAAATGCAGGCAGCTTAATATAGATAGATAGATAGATACACACACACACATATACACACACACACATTTTTATATAGATAGATAGATACACACACACATTTTTACATAGATAGATAGATATACACACATATATACACACACACACTTTTATATAGCTAGATAGATAGATACACACACATATATACACACACACACTTTTATATAGCTAGATAGAGATACACACACATATATATACACACACACATTTTTATATATATAGATAGATAGATACACACACATTTTATATATAAATATAGATAGATAGATACACACACACACATTTTATATATATATATATATAGATAGATACACACATTTTATATATATATATATATAGATAGATAGATAGAGATACACACACACATTTTATATATATATAGATAGATAGATAGATACACACACATTTTTTATATATATATATAGATAGAGAGATACACACACACACTTTATATATATATATATAGATATATATATATAGATAGATACACACACACACTTTATATATATATATAGATATATATATAGATAGATACACACACACACACTTTATATATATATATAGATAGATAGATACACACACACA